CGCATTTGCCTGCATCTTACCCAACTCCAGCCCCATCCCTGTGCCAGTCTGGAATCTCCACAGTGTCTAGTGGACAGCATGCTGGCGGCTGTAACTGCTGTGGAATGACAGGCCACCCTGTTGACCTGGAAGCACAGTGCTGTTCCTGAGCTCCTGAGGCACACACAGCCGGCGTGTCCTCACCTGGCCAGCTCTAACTCAACATGTCATTCCAGAATCACAATGATCCAGGAAAATCAGAAACGGGAAGGCACTAGGGGACAAAGAGTAGAGAAGGGAGAGCTAACCAGAGATGTCCAGAGATGGGGCGGAGGGCAGGGACCCTCTCTCCAGTGACTATGTGCTCCTGCAGAAGCTGCCACTGCACCCTGAATGTGGGGGACAGTCAAGTCTAGTGCATGGTTGGCCACTGCCTCCAAGGTCACCTGAAAGTGTGAGGGAGGCCTGGTCCAGATATTGGCAGGATATAAACAAGGCATTGGAAGCTGGCATCTTGAGATCTGGTCACTAGAGGGCACGCTAGGACTAACGTTGACTCCTGGGCAGTCCTCACTGCGTTTGGGTGTTTAGAAAAGGACAGTTTAACTTTGTTTATTCATTCAACATACATCTACGGAACAATTACTCTGTGCCAAACACTAAGTGCTGTAAAGGGAACTAAATGATTGAGATGTGTCTCATCTTTCATTAGACAGATAATCACTGTAACCAAAAAGTATTGTAACTTCTATTTAGTGCTGACACATTTAATCTCCACACCGGTCCCTCCCCCTTATGTGCATGGCTGACCTTGCCTTCTGCCTGGGTCTACCATTTCAGTCTCATTTTAAAGCTCAGTATTCCCGATCCTGCTCACAGGCTGCACTTAACCCATGATGCTTGTCAGCACACATACACATTTACAATCTGTGTTATCTGTGTCCCCAGAGCATAAATTCCACAAGAGTGGAGGATCTGTGTGCTCCCCCAATGGGCCCTGTGTCTCCTATTGCACACAGTAAGTACTCAATACCTGAATAAAACAGGATTGGCCAGCAAGAATTCCTGTAGTTTAGGGGAAGAGGGTTTACACGAGATGGGGGTCTAATCAGAGGAGGTGATAGTTAAGCTGACCCAAAGGTGACAGCAATTTGAAGATCAGAAGAGGTGGTAGGGGCAGGATAAAGGGGACTTAGGAGAAGGCTCAGAGGCACTGAAGGGTGCTGGGTACCGCCCAGATGTTCCTCCTGCCTCAGCAGCCCATCCCATCCAGCAGCTGACCCAGTCAGCCATGAACAGAACTACTGCACGGCAACCAGGCTCCATCCCTCTGTTACCCTGGCTTTCCTTCACCCCAGGTTCCTCTGCCAGCTTCCTGCTCTTGGTGTGGGTTTCACTGCATTTATCTCAAACCCCTGACAAGAGGTGGCTTCTGTCACTCCTGTCTCAGTTATAGTCTCTCCTTCTACCACCAGGGAGAAACAAACTGCACAACTCAGAAAACAATCCATCATTTTGTCATAACATTTCCATTTCAAAGACTTCCTTTCCAAGCTTCTCCCTGGCCAAACACTGCCTCTAATTAACATGAGAGCTGGCAGAATATTGAGTGACAGGAGCAAAAGGGGCTGCAAATAGCAGGCTAGGCCTGAGGTCTTTGCCTGTCCACTCAAGGCTGTGTGTGTGTGTGTGTGTGTGTGTGTGTGTGGTGTGTGCACACACTGGTGTCTTTATGAGCTCATGTTTCTCAGGCACACTATTGGTGCCACTTGGTCAGAGGCTTGCCCGCTCACATCACAAGACACAAAGACACAGCCACCCTCAGGCACCATAGGCTCCTCAGGCACTGGCTGAGCCTCCATGGAACTCTCCTGGGCTGAGGATTCAGAGGAAAGACAGACACAGGCACCACTGTCAGAGAGAGATGTGTAAGTGAATAATGAGCACATCGCAAGAAACGGTTGTAAAGAGTACTGCTGAGTGACTTGGAGGCAGAGTGAGGTGTCATCTCAGAGGAGATGGCATTTCAACTTGTCTGAAGGATGAGGAGCAGTTCACAGGTGAGAGAAAGTGGGAAGGGGCAGAGCAGACAAAGGGAGCAGCAGGAGGTGCTCAGATGCCAGCTGTGGGGTATTGGGTGTAGCCATGGCAATTGTCACCAAGGCATCCACTACTGCCCTGAACTCTCCCTGCCTAGCCTCACCAGCAACCAGCACTTGTGGGAGGTAAGCTATGAACCAGCCCAGCTGGCAAAGGTCCTCCTTCAGCCTCGTCACTCCTTCCCCTGCCACACATGTGCTCACAATCACTCCCAAATCTCCTTCATTCATCCCTGGCAAAGCCACAGGAAGCCAGGCCTGGCACAGAGCCCAGTGAGCCCCTTTGCAGACTGTAGAATCCTGGAGGCAGCTAGTTCACTTTTTCTGCCCCCAGTAACTTCCCATCATGCTCACATCCACAAAGACAACAAAGTGGTCATCAATGGGGAGGGAAAAGATACCGGGAGTCACAGAAATCAAGAGAGCAGTGTGAAGACCCCACTGAATAAAACGCTCATTCTGTCCACAGTTCTTGACAGGGCACCCAGAAGTTGGCACCCAGAAGTTAGCACCCAAGATTTCAGAATCAAAGGTACACAGTGTCTGTCCTCAAGAGCTACAGCCTGGCTGGGCGCCAGTGGCTCACGCCTGTAATCCTAGCTGCTCAGGAAACAGAGATCAGGAGAATCAAAATTCAAAGCCAGCCTGGGTAAATAGTTCGTGAGACCCTATCTCAAAAAAATCCTTCACAAAAAAGGGCTGGTGGTGTTGGAATATGAAGAACATTCCATGGCAGAGTATTTGCTGTATCCTGGAGCAGCTGAGGCCACAAGGGTACCGTGAAGCCCACACCCCAAAAGCTGAAGGGGGCAGATGTTACACCAGTCTCACTGTGTCCTCATGACCAGTCATGACCTAGGCCACCACCAAGGCCACTTGGGTAGGTGGGAAGGAGACCATTTGGTCCAAGCCTCACATTGATGACGGTCATCCTATTTAGATTTTTCCATTAGCTCCAATAATGGAGATTTGGGTGTTTAGAATGCAATTGTTAGACACAAACCATTGAAATACACAACACCATTTTTTATAAAAGTGGTTCTTGTTCTGCATTTCTTTTTTTTTTCCTTAATTTACAAGAAAACTAAAAATAATGAAAGTGGCCCAATTCTGTCTCACTCTTGGCAAACAGACAGTATTGGTCCTGAATAAGAAAAAGTGAGGCTTAGAGAAATCATCCAAAGCCAGAACTCACTCCTCAGCACCGAGCCCACCTCCCTAGCCCCATGAGGCTCTAACACCAAGGTCAGCCTGCTGGGGGCACCACCCGCTGTGCTTAAAGTCCTGGATGTTCTCCTGTGGCCTCTGTCCCAAGCCACCCCACACTCCTCAGCTCAGCCCAGGGCTGCAGCCTGACAGCTTCCTTCCCCACCTCATCCCCCACAATCCAGCCTCTCCCCTTCCCTGCAAGAGCTCAGGGCTGCTCCTCCAGAGCCACACAGGTTCTGTGGGATGGCAGGCAACACCTCCACTTCCCTGGACCCCTCATCTGGTTTGTGCTTGGGCACAGCTGGGAAAGACCAGATGGGCCTGTCAACATCACTCTATCATCAGCACCCACTGTGAGCCAGGCACATACTTCCCCGCCTCCATCCTCTTTAGTCTCCTGGTCTTCACAGTCTCCCCTGTGAAGTATCCTTGCCATGTCTGCAGCTTCCAGCCCCTTGAGTCAATGCCTTACTTGCCTCTCCTCTTCCGCTGTTTGCAGGGCCAGAATAAGGTGCAGTGAGACTGAAGGAGCAAAACAGCAATTGCCCTACCCTCCTTTCAAAGCCTTTCTGGAGTGAACCAACTGTACAGGCTCAACTTCAAGTCTGATCACCATATTTGGGGCAGGTAGAGGAGAAGAGAAAGACTGGCTTCCAATGGAGAAAACAGAAGCCTGACCAATTGTGCTGCCCCAGAGAGGGAAAAGAAAACAGAAGCCTGACCAATTGTGCTGCCCCAGAGAGGGAAAAGCTAGTAAAAGAAGCAGGTGGGAGGGCAGTGGAAGCAGACATGTGCAACCCCCAGCACAGCACTATCCAGGGAGCCCTCTAAGGAGACTCCAAGCTCTTGGATCTCCCTAGAAACTCATTTGCCTGTCCCTACTCCCACTCCTGCCACCCAGGCAGCTGAGGACCTCAGGTGGAATAACTGAGAAAAACCTCATAAATCCACCTACAAAGACTTGCTCTGACCCTGTTAAGTTTGGATCTCTAGGGAAGAGCGTGTAGGGTTCTGTGAGCACAGGCATTCTGTCCATTTGACAACCTCAGTATTCCCTGGGAATCTGAATGCTGGTATCTGGCGTTGACTGCCAGCCTCTAAAAGCCAGCTGACACAAGTCTATCCCAGTGTGCAGCTGCTCTCCGACAGCCAGATTTCCAGCCCCTAAGATTAAGGATGAAGTCCATCCACCCCAAGGTGAATGGCACCCTCAGGACCCTTGCTGCTTATCCCAGGTGCTTTCTGCTTCTCCCGTCACCAATCTTCTTCAACAACAGTGAGGCCTTTCTCTTCATGGACTTGGAGCCTTTCTCTCCTTGGACCAAGTATTCTCAACTGAGCCCCACTACAACACTCTTGCCTCTCATTCACAAATACTCTTTTTCCAGAAAGATCTAGAGCACGAGGACAGGTAGGCTACACATACCTGGTCTTCTTTGACCTGAACCTGAAATAGATATTCCCTTCTTGAAAGTCTCCACCCACCAACTGTGTCCTCAGCCCTCTCCAACACATATGGCCCCATTCTGCCCACACACCATATGGCAGGCAGACCCCTACCCCCACATTGGTGCGGGGCTTCAGCCCCATTAAGGAGAAGAAAAATCAGTCTTTGCAGAAAAGCAGTGTTTATTATGAGCCATCTGTCAGAACACCTAATCCATGTGCGTGCATGCATGTATGCGTGCACTTGGGGAAGACATGGTGGTGCAGTCAGATAGTCTTGGCCAACCCAACACGGTTGTTGACCCTATCAAAGACACTGTAATACTCCCGGATAAAAACGTCCCCCAGGATCCACAGCTGGGAATTGCTGTTAGTCTGGAAGCCGCTGGAGCAGAAGCCCTGGTCCTGGAAGAGGCAAGGCTGAGATGAAGATAGATATAATAACAGGTACTTTCTACCCCTCACAATCACCTCCATTATTTTATCTCATCTTTGAAATCACCTTCCCAGGTAAGCACACAAATATCAGATTCATCACCCTCAACAGATGAAGAAATTGAGCGACCATTGGTGGAACCAGGACATCTTATCCTGGGACTCATACCTGCATGGTGTAGGCAGAGGGTGGCAATGGGTACTTTCTGCCATGGATCTCAAAGACAACCGTGGGCATGATGCTCAGCCTCCAGCAGTCGATGTCAAACTACAAGAAGAGTAAGGGGCATCACCTGACTGGAAGAGGCACAATGCTGACAGCACAGAACCCCATCTTCTATACACCGTGAGCCTCGAGGTACAGAGGAGGTCCTGCCTTCTCAGAGGACCACAGGGAAACTCTCGGATGAGGCCCAGTCCCAAGGGATGGTCCTCAAAACAGGCCCACTCAAGGGGACCAGCTGTCAGCAACCCAAGGACAGACCACAGCATGGGACTAAAGGGGCTTGCCTCAGGCCTCCCCCTCCATACCCAGCAAGAGTGCACAAGGATCCTAGGAACACTTGGCTGGTAGAAAGAGAGAGTGGGAGGGGGGAGATGGATAAGGGAGTACAGCAAAGTTATTGAACCAGGAAAGGCACAGCCTCCCAGAGGACCAGAAGTCAGATCGCAACTGCTACACAGAACTTGGGGCTTCCACAGCAAGGATAGCCAAAGGTAAGAGACCATAGTGAAAGCCTTCTGTGAAGAGACCTGGTGAAGCCTCCCAGTCTCTGTTGGGAAGTGGGTTCTCTCACCATCTGGAGCGAGCTTTTTCTCTCACTCCTTTGTTGGAACGAGCTTTTTCTCGCTCATCACTGAACCTATCTGGGTGGCGACAGGAGATGCAGGAAGAACAAAGTATAGACAGATAGACAGAAAGTTGGGGCCAGGTGTTCTGGGTGCTCAAATGGAGACACACAGAAGCCTCATTGCTTCTTTTCTGTCTTATTCTCTACATTTACTCTGCTTCTTTTCTCTATCTTTATTCTTTAAGGCCTCACTCCTTAACAATTCTTTAAAACCTTGCTTCTAAAGTCTTTCCATAAAACCTTGCCTTTAAAATCTTCTTTTCTGTTTTTAAAGTCTCTTAGCCTCGCTCTGTCCCATGTTTTCTCTTAGCTGTTCTTTAGCATAACCTCTCTTAAAGTGTTTGCCCCCAGACTTGCACTGTCCCATGTTCTCTTTAGCTTTTCTCTAGCTTAGATTTTCTAAAGTGTATGTATTAGCACTTTCCCTTCAGCAATTCATTTTCCCTTCAGCAATCCTTTTCCCTACAGCAATCTTTTCACCTTCAGCAATCCTTTTCCCTTCCAAAGCCTCCCACATCAAAAAGCCAAAAGCCCAAAAGCCAAAAAGCAAAAGCCTCAAGCAAAAAGCCCAAAGCAGAAACCCCAAAGCAAACGCCCTCCATCCTCCTTCAGTGAGTCTTTTATATCCGGTGGTAAACAGGGTGGAGCAGTGGTTCTCTGGGAGGGACATAACATTGTAACAGGAGAAACCTGTGTTCCTGCTTTTCTGAACGTAAGCAACTTAGGAAAAGCAGCTGTTCTTTATTTTCCTCTTCTGTGGCCAGGGCTGTGCCAATCTTGGCCTACAAATAAACATCTTAGGAAAAGCAGCTGAGCTGCATCTCACCTTGCTTATGTTCAGTTCTCATAGGCTTCTCATAACCTGTTCTCCACAACAATCTGTTTCATTATTTCTTTCATGTGAAAAGGGACCCCCACTTCAGGGGCCTCAGGAAGTGGGGTGAGGGCCTGGTCTCACCTGGCCGTACTGGCCCTGAATGGCTCCAATGACCTTCTGAATAGTGAGAATATCTTGACTGGGCCCAGCCAGCAGGGAGGTGCCTGTGTCCAGGACAGCCTGGCAGCCGCCATCACAACCCACCACCACACCATTAATGGTGACACTAGGAAGATAAACAGGAGGACCTCAGGTCATATCCTACATGTAGCCCTCCCTCCCTCCTTGGGTCCTTCACAGTCAGGATCCTCAGGCAAGGAAGATAGCCCCTTCCCTTGGACCTCTTCCTGGAGCCCCCAAAACTTCCTGAGTAAGTAGAAAATAGATGAAACTATTTTCTCCCAAGTCAGTAGCTAAAGTAAGAAGAGCCCAACATCTATGAGTCAAAAAAAAAATGCCAATAAAACAACCCATTCTTTAAGGATGAAAGGAGGACTATGCTAGCTGCCTAAAGATCTGGTTTCAAGTTTTTTCTCTCATTACTCACTGCATGTCTTAGATAAGTTGCCTAACCCCTGTGTGCTCCAGCTTCTCACCTAAAAAATCGGTATGTGGTCAAGTCCTGTCCTGACTTTTTCACGTTTGAACGTGAAGTTCAAACTCAAAGTTAGTAAATTCCAAGATGGGGATAATAATGACACTCATGTGTCCCATTATTTTCATGGGAATAAATGAGACAGCCAAATAACCACTAAGCACAGTGCCTAGCAAAAAGGAAGTGCTCCATAAATGCAGCCTCTTCACTGTCACTCCCAAGTGCTACCAGCTACAGTCCTTCTTAGCCCTGTGACCTGTCACCCAGGACCCCATATCCCACAGGTGGAGTCAACTTCTGGCTGGGGCCCACACAGGGCTCTGCTCACCCACCTGTCCATAGTAAACTGCCAGTATTGCTGCTTGGTCACAGGTACCCAGTGCAGAGAGCCTGTGTAGTAGGACTGGTCGATGGCCCCCAGTGTAAGCATGCTCCCCTGCTCATTCCTAGAACCAAGCAAGACATGTTGTAGCACCAGGAGCCCCTGCTGGTGAGGAGTGGCCCAGTCCCACCCTGGAGCAGATGCAATGGAGACCCCGTTGCTTTTCACCAGCCCCCAGCCCCACAGGCTAGGAAGCTGTCCTGCCTCCCTCATGCTCCTCCACATTGGGCTTCCTGCTTATGTCAGTGACAGCCTCTTGAAACTCTGAGCCCACAGCACTGGGCTCAGCATTACCTGCAAGGGGAGATGCTGGCCCACCACACAGGTCAAGAAAGTGCCATGCTCTGCATAAGGTATCCCCAGCTGTCTCCTTGTGCCTCCACCCCCGCAACCTGCCACCCCTGGCTTTCTGCCCCTGGAAGAAGAAGATGTCTTCAACAAGATCCCAACTTTGTATTACAACTGTCACCCAGGGCCACATCCCCTGTGTTCCCTCTAGTGTACTGTCTCACGCACACTGGGAACACTGGCACATTGTGTCTAACCTGCTCTCTACATTGCAACTTTTACCTCCTAGAACTCAAGTTGCCTCCCAGTTCTGGATTCTTTACCTGTCCCTCTGTTCCTCACCTGGATCACTCGCACTCATCCTTAGTGAAGTTTGCCCTGCCCCCGCCCCCAGCAGTTTGGACATGCCAGGTATCAGGTTGCTGATACATCCAACTCTCCCCCCCAGTGCCTTCTCACAGGTGCTTGATAACAACGTGCCATAATTGTGTGCTGGCTGTTTCCCCTGCTAAAATGTAACTCCCAGCTTGTCTTGCTTGCATGTCCTGGATCAGCCTCTGCATGTAGAAGGTTCCCGTAAATGTGCATGGAGTAGATGATGAGTGCATGCACAAATGAAATACACCAATCTACCCCTTGCCTGGGTTCCCCTGGCCTCTACTGCCAGCTCTTTCTCCTGGAGGAAAGGGTCTCCTCGTTCTCCTCCACCTGTCACTTCCTGAGCTGAGGGTCATCATGGGGAACAGGAAGGTAGAAGAGGGAGCACTGACCACAGGTCTCAGTCCACCATCTTTATCAGGCCATCCAAGTTAGGCCCTGGCTGGGCACAGCTCCTACCTGCTCATGTAAATGGAGAACAAGTCTTGGGCTACCAGGTGCCTCTTCATCATGTTGTCAAACACAGGCACTGAGTACTCGGAAGCAAGGAAGGGGTAGGCCAGGCCCAAGATCCCATCGAACTGGGAGTAGGTGAAGATGTCATCAGGTTCCTGGGTGCTCATCCCCACAGTCTGGTAGGGGTCCACAATGTCAGAGACCTGCAAGAAAGTCATAATGGACCCCTGCAGTCGAAGACAGAAAAGGCTCGGGGATGGGAACAACCAGGCCCAGATCACAAGACGGGTGTCAGAGTTTCAGTCTCATTACAATGCAGTTATTTGAGCTTAAGACTAAAAAGAGTCAGGCATGTTGGCATGTTGGCACACACAGGTAACCCCAGCTACTCAGGAGGTAGCAATCAGGAGGATAGAGGTTCAAGGGGGCAAAAAGTTTTCAAGACCCCATCTCAACCAATAAGCCAGGCATGATGGCAGATACTTGTAGTCCCAGCTGTGCAGAAGGCATAGGTAGGAGGATTAAGGTCCAGGCAGGCCCCATGCCAAAAAAGCAAGACCCTAATGGAAAAATAGCTAAGCAAAAAAGGGTGGGGGTGTAGTTCAAGTGGTAGAGTCCCTACCAATCTAGATTGAGGCCTTGCATTCAAACCCCAGGATGAAAATGACCCAAGCCTTGTATGCACATATGAATAATAAACCAATAAAAAAAAAAACCCCAGGATAATCAAAAAAATATATATATATATATATATATAAAACAAAACCCCCACCTCCCTCCATACTCTGTGCTGTGATTTGGAAGAACTGGTCAGATGAGACAGGAGAGGGAGGAAGAGAAGACCCAGTGTGACACAGGTGTTCACATTGGGGATAAGCCCAAAGAAGGCATAGGGGAGAGATGCTGCAAGACCCTCTGAAGGCCCGCAGCCTCACGGGAGCGGTGCCTGGGGTGTTTATTCCCCGGGAACGGCTGTGGAGGCAGTGCTGCGTACAGATGGAACACGCACGTGTCTTGCATCTACAAGACCCACCGTGACCTTGAACAAGTTCCCTCTAGGCCTCAATCCCCTCATCTGATAAATGAAATAAAAATGCTTGCACCTGAAGGCAGTGCTGGGCGTAATAACGTTGATGCTAAACATTGCTAAGCATTTATCAAGTAGTCGCTTATTGATTTATTGTCACTATGCTATGGAAGCTCTAACTCTAAAATGTCTTCTTAATCTACCGATCTTCCTGCAGGGCAGATGCGGAGGGAAAGGGAGGGGGCAGGGGGAAAGGGGGAGAAATGACCCAAACGTTGTATGCACATATGAATAAAATAAATTAAAAAAAAAAAAAACAACCAGCCTACTCTGAGCCACTACGGTGGTTGGCCTGGACCACCATAATGACCTGTACCAGGCTTCCTGCCGATACTCTGTCCCCACCGTCTGCCCTCCAGGCAGGCAGCCAAAGCAATCTCTAAAAACAGAAGTCAGGTCATGCCACCCCTTGTTACAACTGTCTGGCATATCCCGACAGAGTTCAGAATAAAACCCTTGTCCTGACATCCCTCACACTCTGGTCCTGCTTCTGACTCCTCTTTTCACTGCTCTGGCCCCTCAGTTCATGCTGCCCACCACGGTCTTCCTGTTCCTCAGAGACCCCAACTTCTTCCTGTCTGAGGCTCTTTGCACTTGCCGTTTCCTCTGCCTGCAGCACTGTCCCAGATCTTCTCAGAATTGCATCCTTTGGGTTCTGGCCTGCAACCAGCTACCATGCTGACCCCAACTCTGCCCCTGACAGCCAAGCGCTCTCTATCACACGTTCCAGTTCCATGTTTGCCATGCCTTTCAGCACTATTTAAAGCCTTCTGACTGAAGTGTCTCTTGTCTCCCCCATTGGATAGTAGGCATGATGTGGCAGGTCCTCTGTCCTCTTGTTGGCAACTGTATTCTTCGTTCTAGAGCAAGGCTCAGCCAGCATTGGTGGAATCAGTAAGTGAATGACTAAGTGCAATGATCAATTCTTTCTTCCTTTGTGTTAACAAACAGCCAGCTACTGAGAGTCTGCTTAGGCCCCAAGGATGTCACGATGACAAAAGAAAGTGCCTTCCCCAGGGAATATTATATCCAGTAGAAAGGACCAACAATACATTTTCAAAAGAAATAAAAGTATAGAACAGGTCAGATAGCAATAAACCCTCTGAAGAGCAAAAATCACTGCCATGGCCAGTGTGTTACTTTATACAGTGGTAGACAGGTCTCATTGATAACGTGACATTGAGCGGAGAGGGAAGGCAGCAGACGCTGGAGACACAGTTGGCCCGGTCATAGCCGGGGTGTACGTGGGGTGGAGCGAAGTGTGGTATAAGCTTAGAAATCTGGACAAGGATAGGGAGATGAACACCTGGATCCAGGGAGGCGCTGTGAAGGCTGCCAAGGGAAGGAGCAGAGGTAGGAAGGTAACACGCCACAGCCAGCTGCCACCTGAAATCCTCCTCAGAATCCTCACCATTGAGCCACCAGGTGGGCAGCACCCAAAGGGCTCCTTAGTTAGCACCCACCAGAGATGCGGCCCACCTGAACCAGGGAGTCAGGATAGGGAAGTGGTTATTGAGAAAGGCAGGGTGGACTCCAGCCAACCCACCGCCCCACTTACGGTGACAGTGTCTTCACCCAGAAAGCCATGCACACTGCCTGTGCCGTATTGGATGAACAGGGGCTTGCTCAGGTTCTGGAAGGTGGAGGACTTGGAGGGATTGAAACGGTGGTGATTTTCTGGAACACAGACCCAGGGTTAGCGGGGTCCTTAGCATCTTCTAGCCACTCAACAGTGTCAGCTAGAGCTCGTATGAATATGGTATAAACACTGACCATTCTCTCTATAGAAAATAAGCAGCCTGTTCTCTCCACAGCTTCAGTCTCGCAGTTCAGTCAAGAGAATATTCTTTGCTGCTCTACCCACCTGTCTGGCCCCAGGGCTGCCTGCTAGCTCCCAAACCAAACAGAGAAGAAAAGCCAGCTCTGAGTTTCCCAAGGACATCTTACTTGTACCCGTGAATAATCTCAGCCAAACCACTTTTCCCTTCCAAACCGTGGCTTCCTCATTTGTGAAATGGGACAAAAGGAGCCACCCCCTCCTGGGGGCTGTTGGAGAGACAAATGACTAACTCGTAAAACGTCCTCTCGTCATTGGTAATAGAGCTTCTCGCTGTTCTCCAAAGCCTCTCTGGTGTGTTATAGTCCCATGTTACAGAAAGGAAAATGGAGGAGCTAGCAAGTTAAGTAGCTTGCCTTGGCTCCCAGTAAAGACAAACAAAACAAAACAAAACAAAACAAATTAGACTCCCTAATTTCCACCCAGTGTTATATATCAGACCCATGATTTTCAACCCTTCCCAGTCTATGGCCAGTTGGGAGGGTTGAGTGAGGAGATGGAGGATAACTGGGAGACTAAAACAAACTCTCCTGCCACCCCACATTTGGCACCAGCACCCTGGTCACTGGGTGGGCCTAAGCACAAGGGGGTGGGCAGGACAGGGAGGTCACTCACGGCAGGCTTCACTGCTGCAGTAGACAGAGGGCACCCAGAGGTCTGCCGAGCCCGTGTCGAACACCACAGTGAACTCTTGGGGAGGGGTCCCGATGTAGATGGTCCCAAAGTATTCGTTCTGAGGACAGATAGCTCTGGGTCAGAGGCAAGACACAATGGGGGACAGGAAGGCTGATGCTGGGCACCTAATGGGTTCAGTTTTATAGGCCCAGTGTTTTCTGCTCAGAGATCTAGCAGGCCAAGGAGCAGGAATTGGAAGGAGGTGCTCTGCTGCACCACACAGGGCTCTTCATCTCCAGCCACCACCTGGGATCACAACCCCAGGCACACATGGCCCAGTCCTCCTATAAGTCCTCCCATAAGCCCATCAGCTCAGAAGCAGACTTTGGACCAAAACTTAAGTCCTGCCTGGGAGAGAGACTGAGTCACCCTGCCACGGCAGAAAGGAGCTGGTCACAGAGATGGGGCATCAGCTGAGGGCAGGACCCCCAGTACCCACTCAAGCTATTCTGTCCCACCTTCCCCCTGCAGCTCTCCCCTTGTTTTAGAGCCGAGGTTGGAGGGAGGAAAGCCAAGATGACCAGATACAGAAATGAGAGCACAGAAGGAATAATGGGCTACTTTTTTAACCACCAAGAATGACAGATAAGGGAGAAACAAACTCCAGAAAGGAAGAGAGAACAAAGCCCTTCTTCCTGCCTGGGCCTGGGGCCTGGGTGGAAGAAGAAGATGGCGTCCACAATTCTGGCAGCTAAAGAATGGGCACCAGCTGTCCTCAATCTTGCTGAACCCACACTAAGACATGGCTTCCCTGGTCTGGGAAGGAAGACATGGGGCAAATTATGTTCCTGGAGGGATGTTGGGTGACAAAGATCATCTGAGTCCAGACCCTTCCAATGGGGACCTTGGAGCCCTGAAGGTTGGTGCGTTACCTTTGCTGGGTCCCCTGGCACACTGTGGGGCTACTGAGGGCAAGAAGACAGCTCCACAGCCCACAGGCTCCAGGATTCCTGAAAGCAGGAAAGCCTTGGGGGCCAAGGGATTTGAGAATTCCTTCCAGGGAATGCCAGCAGAGCCACTCACATCTAGGTAGTTGGTCAGTCGCTCGCTGGCCACCTTCCCGGAGTCAGAGTACTTCTCACTGAATGTATATTGGTATCTCCTCAGAAAGCTGTCTAGCAGTCCCCGTTCCCTCAGGGCGCTCCTCAGTGACTTCCCTTTGTGCAGAGGGACCCTGAAGAAATGGAGAAAATTCATGATAAGGCGACTTCAGG